GTACAACTCGAGTGGATTTTCCATACTCACTTTTGTTGCACAAACTACTATTTTCACTTTTCGCTTGATTTTTTCCGAATTTATGATAAATTTTAATATTTATTGAAATGTTATGTTGTTTCAGGAGGAATGAGCTGCTTCAAATGGTAAGTCTTTTTATTTTAATACTAAAAATAATTATTAATAATCGTCTTTTTTGGAATAGGAATCCTAATTTATAAATATTAATTAATAATATTACAATCGTTCATAATACCAGAGATCGAGGAATTAACGACTTCAAATAATAGTGTGTTTTAATTAAAATTGAGTTTTTTTTTGAAGAAAATATTACAATGTTAATAATTTTCTTATTTTGTGATTTATTTTTATATTTCTTAAAAAATTTTAATTTTTCTTGTTAGTCGTTATAATCGTTTCACTATATATAAGGCGTTTCACTGCAAACGGAATGGTCACACATTTACATTTTGTTGCATAACGTCATTATACAGGGTGATTAAAAAAATTAAAAATTTAAAAATTAAATAAGTTTAGTTTACAAAAGTAATGTTTAAAAGTCAGCACTTTTCGACTAATGGCAGTCCCTAGATTTCGATTTTTAATTGCTTAGCTTTCCTAATTTCTTGCGTACGTGGCCAACGAAGTCACCACACCAAAATCCTAAATCCTCAGTAGAAGGGGAAAATAATTTAAATAAATATAAAATGAAATACTCATACTATTTTTAATGATAAAAACATATATTCCATGCCGATTTATAACTTTGATAGGATTTCTTTGTTTTACTTGTTACTTGTTTAATATATTTTCTGTGAGCGGATGTTAGTGGCTGGCAGGGCTAAAATTTGTAGAGCCCTCAATTTAATTCGTGCTGTTAGTTCAGGCAATGTCGTTCGCGCTCGCGGTCGGATTATTTAAACTGTCAAACTGACACTCTTTATAATTATGCAACAAGTTATCGATGAACCTGATTATTTTGAAGTACTTATTCGCTCCGTGCGCGACAGCAGCGCCAATTTGTTTTGGCATTAAAGGAGTATTTCTGCCTATACTGACAAATGCGATTTTTAATAGAATTCGTAAATAAAAAGTATATATGTTAGTTTTAATAAAAGTATATGGATTTATAAAACAATTAAAACATTAATTTATTATTATTATATATTTTTCACGCTTAAATTGAAGAAAATTATGTATAATCATTAAAAATCAATAATAAAATATAGACAGGCAACAGTATTTACTGGAAAATGTATGAGAAGTTGCCTAAGTCTAATAAGTTGTCATTGAAGAAACCATTTATAATAGCGTGAAGTTAAAATGTATAAAAAGGATCGCTACTTATATTTTCATTTTTGTTCTAAAGAAAACATAGAATGAATGATTAAAACTGGTTTCCGATCAGTAAGTCACAAAATTGCATACCAGCCAAATATTATAATCAACGGCAGAAATCTTGAAATCTAGTCCTTGCTGAATGAACATTTAAGAATAAAGGGATATTAAAGAACATCGTAAAATGATAATTTATTGTTTATTTAAAAACTTTCTAGTTTCTGATGTCTACTATTTCCAGCATTACTGTTATTATCACAAAAATAAAGGTAATTTTTCTTCTTATTGTACACCTATCCATTTATTTCTTTGATTTAATTTCCACTTTGTTAGTGAAATTTGTTATATAAGTTTCACTGTTTTTTTTTGCTAGTATTTGTACAATTTTCAACACAGCAACTTCGGTTGCTTATTGTGTTGTTTTTACCTACTTTTTTGAAAAAAAGTAAAATGTATACGTGTATTTGATATGCCAAAATTACAAAATATCCCCCTAAAATGCACGAATTATCCGCAGCTAGCGCTAGTATCGCTTTTGCTTCCCTTTCCATGACTTCGCACGGAGCGAATAGTATTACTACTGATTATACCGATTCATCCATCGTACTAGGAACATGGTAAACATGATGACCAATTGACGCTTGTCCGCAACTGTCACATTCAAATTTTGTGCTTTTATCGCGGGCGAAAAGTGTTTCTTTAGATTTAAAATGAATGTTTACGAAATTGCTGAGAAAGTACAAATTGTGAAATGGCATTTTCAAGGCAACACAATTCTACAAATAAGCGGTTTGTTTGAGGCGACATTTTAAAATAGGCCCATACCATCACTTATTAGTCCCAATATGTTGGCTGAAGTAAGGCGATCATTTTACGATCGCTTGGGGTACTGTCTTGCCGAAGAAGGAGGTCTATTTGAGCACCTATTACATTAAAAATAAATTCGTGTTCTTTTATTATTGATTGTAATTTATTATTGTCTATTGGATTCCATTTTATAATTTTTATTTTTTTGTAATTTTTTAATCTTAGTTTTGTATTTTTTTTTAATCTTAGTTATGTAATTTTTTAAAGTTCGTTTTGTTTTTTTTTTAATGTTCAATGTTTGTTCTCTATTTTTTAATGTTTGTATTGAATTTTTTTCCATTTGAAAACAAAATCAAAGTTGTTTTTTATAAATTTTAAACTGTTGCTGTTCTTACTATTGTGGAGGGTCTCAAAAAAAGAGAAAAAAAAAGAAATTAAAAAAGAAAATGAAAATTAATAAAATAAAAAAAAAATAAAAAAAAAGTCGGCGCGTGGCGCCGAGATTCGATCCTACCTCTATCCGCGTAAGTACAACACCTTACCCACTGCGCTACGTCAACAACTATTAAAGTTTTTCAAAATTTTGTCTATTATTACAAATTCTGGTTGATGGTTGCATTATTAAATTTCGCTATTTTCATGTCTGAATATGTTATGTTTGTTCTTTATCTTCATTTATTTGTAAAATATTCATTAATACTCAACTCTGTCGTGAAATGTATAAAGTTATTCCAATTATGTCACATGCGAAAGCTTTGGAATGACAGTAGCGGACAAGGGTAAATTGGTCATTAGTTTGACCGTGTTCGTAGTATCGTGGATGGATATGTATGTATTATATGGCAGTAAATGTACTGGCGGTAAATGTGCTGGAGGTCAATTGTAGGCTATAAATTGCTTATGCGATCAATTGCTACGGCGGCGGTAAACTGCTAGCGGTCAATTGATGGCGGTCAATTGCGGGCGGTCAATTTTCCTAGACCCAGATTCCAGACAGTGAGTGTTTTTAAATCGGTAGCATTTATTTTCCTGATTTCAATTAATTTCCTCGTTTATTTCTACTTTACAAATTTTTAATATTCAATTGATGGGCTTAAAATTTTTTAAATACATTACTATTTCACAGCACGCCTTATTCACACGCTAAAACAAAAAGATGGCGTTTCTGGTATTTTTAAAAATTTTAAACTGTTTTTAATCGTCCCCATGTGTTTTTTAATGTTTTTAAAATTTTGACTGCAACCGAAGATGGAAACATATGTAGTGCTGTGATAACGATATAAAATAAAATTAATGACCGAATACACCAAAAAAATTTTTATTTATATAAAATTCTGCTACGGTCAGGAAATTATCCTTATTCAAATTACTATTTCTATCCCCACTTCTAGTTTTAAAATTAAGCTCAGATTTTGGGTGCCATTTAGTTAGTAATAGTAATAGTTTATTCATCAAAAAATATATAGTTATAAAAATACAAATGGTAGCTTAAAAATTAAAAGTAATTGAATGAATAAAGGTACACTCGATAAGTGAGTACTCACTTGTTTCGATTATAATACATGAAACTTAAAAAAAAGTACAATAAATTATTATTTAAAAACATTAATGTTGTAAAGATAAAAAAACACAAGATTAAAATATACAAATAACTAAAACTAAATTAACTAAAATTAGAATAAATAAAATAGGATAAATATATAAGAGAAATTTAATTGATCCATTTTTATAATTAGAAGATTAAAGTGAATTTAAGGGAAAACGTGACAACCAAAATCTATATTATTGAGTGTTAAAAAAACAATTAATTCAAAAAACTAAAGCTGAGACTAGAAACAGACGCAAGTTAAGTATTTCTACATTCTATTATATCTTTAAATTTTTGTCGTGGATTTTCTAAAATAAATTTTTTAAGGCTTTTTTTCATTTTAATTTTACATTTAATTGTTTTTATTGATTCTGGTAGTTCATTATGTATCTTAGGAGCAAGATAGGTATAAGATCGTTGACTAAGTGATTTACTTACTTGTGGCACGATATGGAGATTTCTATTGCGAGTTTGATAGGAGTGAGAAGGTAAGTTAGCATGTTTAGTATTAAGTTGATATGTTTGAGCCATGCAGTAGAAGTATATTTGCCTAAGATCCATGATTTGACTTTCGGCATATAATAGGTCACTTGAGTATCGATATTCTTTCGACAACATAAGTTTTAAAAATCTTTTTTGTATTATCTCAAGCGTTTGGATATGGCACCTTAGTGCGCTTCCCCAAGCTAGAATACCATATCTAAGATGGCTTTCGACTAAGGCATAATACAAAGTTGTTAAACAGCTAACTGAAAGATATCTTTTCAGAAAATTAAACTTATATAAGATACGCTGCAGTTTTTTTACGGTATAATTTATATGGTATTCCCATTTCAGATGACTGTCAATAAATATGCCAAGGTATTTTATTTGTGTTAAAGGTTGAAGAGCAAGATGATTTTTATTTATAGAAATGTCAAGTTGATGAAATTTGGGAAGACAGCTGATGTTGCAGCTGAAAGGTACGTATCTAGTCTTGTCTAAATTTACAGTAAGTACTTTGTTGTCGAGCCAAGTCTTAATATTGAGAAAATCTCTTTCAGCCATGCGTTTGAGTTCATCCCAATCAGGTGCTTCGTAGAAGATTGCAGTATCATCTGCAAATCCCACAATTCTGCCCTTACTAGAAATTGAAAACAGACCATTTATATAAATGTTGAATGTACGAGTACGACACTTCTTCCCACCTCCCTGATCCAGTCAGTCAAACAAATCAAGTAAGTAAATTTAGTTAGGTTCGTTAAATAAAAAATCATTTACTATTTTGCAGTCGTTTATTGAGGATCTAAAAAAATAAATAATTTAAATATTAAAAACTAATCGAATATCATTCTTTCTTAAAGCCAGTCAAAAACTCAAAATATCCTAAATTTTTAAATCTACGCAACAGTCGAAGGTATAGTTTTTGAATCTTTCTTTGAAATCTCGTTGTCCTTAATAGGTTTTTCAGGTTGGGCTTGAAGTTCAGGTTTTTCTTCACTAAGTACTTCAACAACAGGTTTTTTTGCGCTGTCGGGACCTTGAGATTGACCTGCTGAAGGAATCAATTGTTGTGCTTGAGTTCCAACACTTTGAATTGCTAAAAAAATATAAAGATTACAGTAGGATAGTAAAAAATCGTAAAAAAACATATTTAATCCCCTCCAGTTAGAAAGTTTTTTAAAAAACACGGAAATTAAAAGATAAAAGTAAATGTATTGTTTCTTAATTTCAAAACGCAAACCCCCTCTGTAACTTTTCGGGCTACACTACAGCATTAACAAATAATAATATAGAGTTATCTACAAAAGAAATTCTAAAGTAGGTCATGAAAAAATCATGCATGACAGAGATTACAATCCTTTTTTTAAATGACAGTTTTGAATTTTTTATCAAAAAAAGTTTGTTTTACCATTTTGGATAGGATTTTGTTCGTTGGTTCCACCTTGGGGTCTAAATGGATTCAAAGGGCTATTTTGAATAGCATTCTGGATATTTTGGATAATATTTGTGTTACTAGGTTGAGCTGGAGCAGCACCTTCATCTCCGGAAGCGCTTGGGGGCCTATTTGAATTGCCTCCTTGGAAGAAGTTTGTTATAGCGTTACCTTGAGGCAGAAATAATAAACCTGGTAATATAAAATTACATTTTCAGAACTTATAATGAAAACGTTTCGCAGGATTGGCTTGAGGGTGGTAATTAGAAGAAAACGTGAAATTAATACTCATATTCTTTAGATTTTTCTTGGGTTCTTTTAAATTGGGTACTACGGTCATGCTACTTATTGGTCGCGTGACAACAAAGATTAGTTGCTTCAAATCGCTACAATGGGCAATCGTCTGATTAAGACTGAACAATGAAATGTGCTGAGTACCATTTGTGGTAACTGATTTTATTTCCTAATCGAATCAATAGTGAGTACCGACCTTGAAAGAATGTCTGCCACATTATGGTCTTTCCTTTTCGGTGTTTAATTTCAAAATTGTATTGTTGTATACGTCGGGCCAATCTAACCAATTCGTCACACTAGATCTTTTATGGAAAATAGCCAATTGAGGCGAAAATATTCGGTGACTACGTATGGCCTCACTTTTTTATGGCCAAAAGAATTTTTTTAATAAATAAAAGGCAACTTTTCCACCTTTTCTCATTAATAGTGTTGTGGTGCCATTATATAAGGGGGAAACTTGACTAAGCTGTATAATTTCCGATATTGGGAATTTTAAAAAAACTTGAAAAAGCATGACTAGTTAGATATCTATATACCAAAATAAAAGACAAAAGGACGTCATGATGAAATTCCATTGGAATTCTACTCAATTTCACAATTCTGATTTTTCTTCTACGGGACCTTTCAGGAACTCATTGTCTTTGGATATGAATGATAATAAACTATCATTAAACAAAATTATGACAATTATGATTCTAACAAATATAACATTTCTTTAAATTTTTAGACCCCAAAAAAATTAATATATTAACATTTATTTATACTAGAGTACCAAATTTTGTAATTATTATTTTAAGTTGAAAATATTGAAATCTAGATGCACATTCATTAAATTTTTAATATAAACTCAGCCATGTAAGCATAATTAATATTGCACCAAAATTTATTAAATTATTGTCTGTCAATCAACTCTGCTGGATGACGTTATACAGACTGTCCCTCCCAAATTATCATTTAAATTCATTGTCCCATAACATATTCTTTATCTCTTTCTGTCAAATATATTTTAATATTTACATACTTGACCATATGTAGGAGTAAAAATTTTTGAAAAAACCATTGAATTTAATAAATTTTTATGAAGTTGCAAAATGATCTAGATACCTAAGTCTAATATTTCTTATTTGAATTTGAGTCTAAATCATATGCAAATTGATTATGCTTACCAACTGACTGTATAACTTGAGCAGGACCATTTTGTTGCTGTTGTACAGGGGATGCAGAATCGCCTAGAAAAGAAATCATGAATGAAATAAAATGACAAAAATCACAAAAATTGGTTAAATATGGTTGTTATGATTTTAATATGGTCAAATTTTATGTCATGGGATAATAAATTTACCATTAATAACATCGCTAAAACAAGTGAAATTTTAAACAAAATTATTATTGGAATTTCTTGATATTTATGCTCCTATCAAAACTATTCGCAAACGTTAAAAAGCCACATGCGCGATGAATTACTGAAAACATAAAATTCATGCAAAAGCTAAGAGATAAAACTTTAAGAAAATTTAAAAAATAGTACTATAAACAACTAATGCAATAAAAAATTAACAAAAAAGGCATATTTCATAAACAAATTTGCAAATTCAAATAAGTACTAAACAAACTTGACATGAACTAAAAAAATTATTCCTACTCACTTAAATGATGTTGAAATTATGGTACTGATAATTTTATTATCAGTACATTTTATTATCAACATTTTATCCTTCTATTTTCTTATTTTAGTGGAAATACGCTAATGTTATTCCTATATCTAAAATTAGCTCACCTAGTGATTTAAGCCATTTAAGATCTATTTGTATTTGCATTATTTGGGATTTTCTGATGCAGCTATAAACTTTATAAAATCGTTTTTAAGCGTTCGCAAAAATTTTTAATAAAAATCCTCTCAAGGCAGTATTCTTAGTCTACTATTACACACTATGTGTACTAGTAGCTTTTAATATTCTATAAAACACTGGAACTACCATCACTTTTATGCTGATACACAAATATAATGTAATGTGAGCCATTTCATTAGTCAGTCATGCTCTAATACTCCAAGTCCCTCTCTGTATTATTTGGCCTTTGAGGCTCAACTTGTCCGATTATCATACATAATTAAACCCCTAAGCCCAAACCTATGTGACGACTATGGTGGGAGAGTGTTCGATTAATGTTCCAGAAAAGACGGGATAATGTTTCTAGAAAATTCGGTGAAGTTTCTAGAAAATTGGCGAGCTTTCTAGCTCATTCGCCAAACTTTTAAATTTGTATATAAATATTGGTGGAGAACGCAGTTAATCAGTAGTTATATGGACAGTGCAGATAAATAGTAATTAGTAGATAGACAGTGGTAAATATAAATAGTGATCAGTTTAAAGACATTCGAAGTATATATAAATTAGAATAATAGTGTTATAAAATAAATAAGTGTTTAAATAAATTATTAATAAATAAACTGTTGTTTGAAAATAAACAAACATCACAATACTTTTAAATAAATTTAGCTAAAACCTCATCAAATTAGCTATAAAATAAAATCCTTAAATTGTTTGCATTATTGTATTAAAATGCTGTATTAATATTTGAACCTTAATATTAGTATGTATTTTTTTATAGGTATCTTTTATTTATAATTTTAGTTTATTGTTAATGCAATATATATTTTGATTAGTTAAATATAGCATAGCATTATTATTAACCTTGTGATCCAGCTGGAGATTGACCTTGCGGAATACCAAAGGCGTTTTGAACATTTGATACTATGGCTCCAAAGAATCCTATTGGTCCACCTTGCGCTGGCGCAGCTCCTGAATCACTAAGGTTAGTATTTGAAGTTGTTGGGCCAGTATTTCCTGTGATAGTACTTACAATGTTACTTATACCTAAAATGGAAATAAAAAAATTAAATAAAGCCTATCGCATAAAACCCGAATCTTAAAGTAATTACTGCGAGAAAAACAGATTTTTCTTTAAAAATTTATTTTACTTAATAATTTACCATTATTAAAGAACTGAACGAAACCTTGGAATCCTTGATTGGCTGGTTGCTGTCCCGGCTCTTCATCAGCTTGTCCCTGAGGAACTGGATTGCCATTATTGGGACCGCCCAAACTTTGGATACTCTGGACAAAATTGGTAGCAATACCGTTAAAACCATTTACGATATTTTGAATCCAGTTATTTTGTTCTGGAGCTGGAGCTACGGGTGCTGCCGAATCGGTACCAGCTAAAAAATTATAAATTATTAGTAATGTGTCACTTTAGAGCACTATTTTGAAGCATATTCCAAAAGTGGTTTGCCCAGCTCTGCTGATATTTGACAAATCTTACCTGGTTGGGTTTGCTTGAGCAACTTTTGTTTTTGCTCATCAAAATAGGTATCTACTGCTTTTTCTAAAGTGGCCCATTGTTCGGAACTAGGGCTTAGTTCATCTTTGCCTGGTTTGAATGAATCTTTCAGATTCTGGAGACCATTTTTGATAATTTGGTGACTTTCTTGAAGAACTTTATCTAAAGTAGTCGGCACCTGCTACCAAAACATAGGACATGGTTACAGTTTTCAAACATTGGTTGTGGAAACTACTTAAGCAAAAGAAAGTATAACTTTTCTTCTTACCTGTGCTGATTTTAAAACAGACTTTCCTAGAATGTTTGCTTTACTTTCGTCACTTTCGGACTCATTAGATTCTGGTTGAACTAAGGATTTTACAGCCGGTATTACGTCTTTCTTCTCTTCTTTTGGTAGCTACAATAAAAAAGAAATTAAGTTCAAGTTCAACTGATGGAAGTTCAGAAATAAATTCCAGAACCCCTGAGGATTAAAAACAAACCAGAGAAAATTGAAAAATTGTTTGGAAAAATTTGTTCAAAAAAAAAGGCAATGTATACTTCTACTAACTAGAAACAGATAGATTCTTGCATGAACTCAGAATATTTGGGAATTCGGTTATATTTGTGTATAAAATTAAACTTTCTTACCTCAACAGGTTTTTCAGCGATTGGAACTGTTGGTTTTTCTACATTTTCTTGAATTTCCTTTGGAAGAACTGTTTTAATCGCAGGAACATCTTCTTCGTTGATTAACTAAAATAAAAATAGCCATATTACATAAACCTTTCTTTATTATAAATATAATAAAGTTAATTTTTTAAGTCTTAATAATAATATGAACAAATGTTTGAAGTAATAAATGCGATGTATAGCAATAAAGTAATTTTATGTGAACAAATAACGAAATATAAATGTTATAAGCCAATTTTTTATTGGAGCGGTAGTCAAAGAAGAAGTAGGTAATAAAATAAGTACAGGGTGTCCCAAAAAAGTTGGCCAATCCGTTAACCTTAAGTCAGTGTAGATTAGATTAGATTAGATTAGGAGTTGGACGTTATTTGTCCTTGTCCACCGCGACCTTTTCAGATCTATTGTGGGACTCCGTTTGTTTTAGAGTATGTCGTCTAGCCTGGTCTAGTTTTCAATCTTTAAAAATAAATATCATATATAAAAAGGAGGGTAAGATAAGCACAATTCGTCGTCAATATCACGAAGTGACATAACTCGATTTTCACAACTTTACAAGAGAGCTTTTTAAAGTTTTTTTTATAAAGTTACGTCTCTTCGTGAAATTATCAGATACACCGGTTAGATACGTGCTATTTTAATAAATGTAATGAATTGAGATACGTAATTTAGTGAAATTGTAGAGCATACGTTTTTACATAATATGTGATTTATCTCAATTTTCAATTTTTTCGAGTTACGTCACTTCGTGATATTGACGAATTACAATTTTTTTTACAAATCGTATTCCAAAATAATTTTGAGGTAATAGCCTATTTTTACCATCAAATACCGGGCTATATCCATTAATATATAATGTAAAAAAAATTCTCAGAAAATATAAAAAATATACAAATAATGTTTTTGTGCATGTAATATACCTACCCAAACCTGTTATCAATTTGTATACAATTTTGAAAATTTTCTAGAAAATCCAAAAAAATAAATATAAATGATTTAATAAAGAAAAAGCTTAAACTAGTTTATAGAATTTAAAAAATTTTCAAAGGACTTGATTGATTGATGGTAATAATAATAATATCTTAACGGGCCGAAGATGGTTAGTTTAATGGCCTCTTAGGTACCTTCAAATAATGTTGCCAAATTAGATTTACATGTAATCGGTAAAGATCTTATTATACCTTTACTATACCTATTAAGTGTTTTAGGGCCGATTCTATCGTTGTGTTAAACGAAGTTTAAACTACTAAGCGAAGATTAAAATGACAGTGTAAAAATGCCATTTTAAACTTAGTAATTTAAACTTCAATAAACACAACGGTGGAATCGGCTCTTAAAGCCTCATAGATAAAATAATACTACAATTTGTTGGTTTACCTTCAATTGTTCTTCTTGTTTTACTACTTCCAAAACATCGGGCTCAACTTGTACAGGCAAATGCTTAAACACCTGCGCCAGATCGTCGGTATCCAATTGAACCTTTGCATCCAGATTCCTCCTTGCTTGTACATCTCTTGGAATCACCCTCACTACATCTCCTTCGTATCTCACTTCAACTGGGATGTTTCTCTGGTACAACTCTATAGGGATGGCGTTCAAAGTTACCACTAGAGAACATAAAAGGTAAACCGCGAGTTTTTGAATCATCTTTTTTCTTTTGTTTCAAGCGGCTACTTAGATGCGGCGAACTGAAGCTGGATGGCTACTTCGGATGGGTTTTATACGAAGATTGTGTTTATGGTGAATTCTCGAGTTGGGTGACCCCAAGATAACCGGTCTTTGAAGATGCTTGTGCCGAAGAAAGAAGTGCAACTATCATGGGCGGATACTGAGGTTTTGAAGAAGTCTTTTTATGCAAATTCGTCTTGCATGAATATTGTAAAAATATTATTGATTTAAATGGAAGTGCTTTGATCATTTTTCATGCAAATGAGAATACCGTCAAATTGATTTTTTGAATGTTTCTTAAACATTACTTCATGTATTGATTAAAAGTCTCCATGAGTTTAAATCTATCCCTAGGGCTAGGTTTCGACGTACAGAGCGCTGAAGTTAAAAATCCCGACTTCGTTAAAATGTACACCGACAAATCCCCTTTAAATATTTTTGAAATTTGCTGACTAATTTTGGATAAAGTGAGTATTTTTACACTACAAGTAATATAGCATGAAATATAATTAAAAAAACACCTTGAAAATTTTTCCATATTGAATATACTGTAGTGATTAGTTTTCGAAATATAAAATATATAAATAGTAATATTTTTTTTAACTATAAGAGATATACCGTAAGCTAGTTATACAGAGAGTGTCTCAGAACGTGTGGGCAATCTCCCGGATTCAGATAGAACACATAAAAATAACATGGATAGTTCTTATAGATTTTTTCTACGACCCCATTTTCGGAGATATGATCTATGATCCCATAGTGGACACCTCTGAAAAAATATTTTTTTTTAAGTCCTGGGAATAATTTAATATTTTTTAAATAGGATGGATACTAGATAAGTATCCGTAAAATGTATAATTTTAAACACATTTGGCTTATTTAGTTTGTAAGGGAGAGACTAGCTTTAACACAATAATGCTGATATTGTTTACACCCTGTATGATAAAGACGCAACAATAATATTTTTGGACAGCTTAAACCTTAAACTAAAAAAGCTCCAAGCAATTATTACTAGAGAGAGTCTTCCCTCCTTCCCCGCGTTAAATTTTGTAATCAACATTTACTCCCTCCCGAAGGGGAAGATCCCTCTCCTGCAATTGGCTTACATTTAATCAGCGTTGCCAAGTTTGTCAGCGCCAGTTCTGACACTTTCTGGCACATGTCAATTTTTGATTTGTATTTTACGAAAATAGTATATTATGACATTCATAATCGAGCCTTTAAAGCATGAGTAACGAGTTTAAGGCCACGACGCGCAGCGATTATGGCGATTATGCATTGTGTCATTCGATATTTTTTAGAATGAATGCGTAATTACAATAGTAATATAGTAGTAGTAACTATAACCATTTTAATTGAAAAATGCAAATTAATAATTTCAATGCATTTTATCGAGTGGGTAGGTAAATATCATTTGACATTTAATTTAATTATTAGAAGATTTTTTCTGTTCATGTTACTTGATTTAGGTAAACTTGTAAACAATTTTATTAATTTAATAATTCAAAATAAAATCTGACATAATCTAATCTTATTTATTGAAGCGGTTACCTAGCAATTTTTATACGCACTTTTGGCGATTATACACACTTTTTGGTTTGTTTGGGATGATTTATGATACATGAATACTAAAAATATAATTATGTATAGCGTTGTAAGGGTTGTAAATATATATTTAAGATTTAGTATCTCTAATAATATGGTGAAAACATGCTTTATGTGTAAAAGATCTGTTGAAAATGCTTCAAGATTATATCATAAGTAAGTACAAAGACAACCTAATTATCAGAGGCGGTGCATTAGGCACTCACCTTTAATTTGCAATTAAACTTTCTTATCGAAAAAGTAAAGTTAAGAGGGAATAAACCCCAGCTAAGTTCGTCTTCATCCGTCTCATAATTTTTATAGTAAAGGTTAATTACTTATTAACATAAATAAAGAAAATTTAAACCTGTGACTTTATTTTAATATAATATCTTTGTAAAGTTTATTATTATTTTTTGATGTAGATTTCCTTTTCTTGATATGATAAAAAGAAATAAATAGTTCAAAAATTTAGGAATTCAACAAGTGATCACCTGAATGACTTTTTATGCTAATGAATATTTTTATTACAGACCTCAGGGGAGGAAAATATTAAAGAAAAACGCAATTTTAGTATAATCAATCCTGTCACTACTTCATCACCAGATTCATCTGCTACTAAAATACTAAAACAGCAAGTGAAGCAGAGAAACTTAAGTTTCTTTCAAAAATAATGTTTAAGGAAAACGGCAATGCCACTTTTTTTGTTGACATTTTTTTTTTTAACTGTAATTTAATCGATTAATTTTGTGTGTAATTTTCATATTATGCTCTTAATTAATTTTAGGTTTAAACAGAATGAACCTCAAAGATATCCATGGAGTATCCCAAAAGAACAAAGAAAGGTTTTAAAATTCTTAAGAAAACTATTCAGAACCAAAAACATAAAATACTTAGTTAGTCTTCGTGTCCAAAATATAAAGATATAGGTAGAAATAGGTATAGTATAAATATATTATCCAGATCATTATAATCTAAAAAAATCTCTTTCTGGTGCTATAGTCAAGTATAAAAGCATTCATTTATTTGAGATCAGTTGCCATATACATTTTAATTAAGTTTTAAGTTAATATCTAGTTGGACATCCTAAAATGTATTTTTCCGTTTAATGTGAGATTCATTATTCTACATTTTTGTTGATGGAATAGGATATTTTAAGATGTCCTATTGTTTTCTCTAATTATCTAAAAAATATAGAACAATATAAAGACTGTTTTAACAAAAAAGAGATACTCGTATACCTTTAAACACACAATTAGTCAATTCAATTAGACGATAACTTAAAGCAGAAATCCAGAAAACTTCTAAAAATGTGTTTAAATGTATTTAAATGTATTTTTACTAGAACAAGGATATCTTACAAAATAATTATTAAGTTTTTATAATATATATTATACAAATCACAACGAACTACACAAAATGACATTATAACAATAATATAGCAATAAAAAAGTTGAGTACAATGATGACATTAAAAGTTAATTTTCTCGAAATTACTTTTTTAAATTGTCCCAGTACCTACCTACTATTGTTCTAGCACAATATTATTATATAAATATCTACACCTGAGCCAGCAAGATTCGTCTTCCCTCCATCCTTACATTCTCAAGATTTACAGAGAAAACTCCGAGTGATCTTTCACATATCCGGACCTTCTTTGACGGGGACTATACCACAACTTTACATTATCAGCTTTATTTGTTATCCCGAGCAATTTAAATGCATTCGTAATTGCTCATTCTCACCTCTTCTCTTGTAGATTCCGTACTCCGTTTTCTTATTTTTAGTTAAGTTTACACTGCTCTTTTATTTCTCCTTTTCTACAGTTTTAATTGTATAATACTGTAATTCTACAATATGGATCCATTTTTGTGGTTAATACTATTTAATTTTAATCGTAAGTGACGAACCTATTCTTATATTGTTCCTATTATAATAAGGATTATTATATCACAGGCCTGAAGATGTCCTTGTGAGACCGAAACTAGTCGCTCCTGTATTTATTTATATTTAATTTTAATCGTAAGTGACGAACCTATTCTTATATTGTTCCTATTATAATAAGGATTATTATATCACAGGCCTGAAGATGTCCTTGTGAGACCGAAACTAGTCGCTCCTGTATTTATTTATAATAATAGATTTATTGATGTTGAGATTTTATTCTTTAATTGAAATAATTAGCCTTTACACTGATTTTGTTTTATTTCCTGCATCAGACACATTTAAGACGGTATACATTTTAAAAATAGTAAAATTAGCGAATTTTTTCGTTTTTAACAATTAAACATTTTGAACAATGTGTGTTCTTACAGAGAAATGATATGACACTGAATTAGAGGGGTTGTTTACCTTCCCCTCTATTAGCGCCTCTATTAGCGCCATCTATCGGCAGGTTTTTGAGATAATGATATGGGACCTTATTTCAAATAAAATATCAATCTTTTGCGGTAGGATTATGTATTAATGTAAACATTGGCATTTTTGAATATATGTCACTATTCTTGAGAAGCATCTAAATGTTTCTGAAAACATTTTTTTTAAATGTTTTAACGCTTCATACAAGCTTAATTTCGAAATAATTTTCGACCCCCTTTTGACCTACGTCTCTGACTACCCTATACCTTTGATTCACCCATAACGGTGTGCCATATTTCAAATTTTGGATGCCCTACTTAAAAGTTAGTTCTGACTACGGCCGTGGATAACCAATATATAAAAACCATTTTAAATAAAATTATTTTATCTATATGAATCAAGAGTACCTTTTTTTAGTTTAAGATTTAAAGTGTCCAAATACAGGGTGATTTTTTGAAAAGGATCCACCCTCGATAACTTCGTTCTCGTCTTGATTCAGGTAAAATCCAAAAACAGGTCTTTTTTCTTGAACCACCCTCTACAAAACGAAATAATTCTTACATGGTCGTATGGTAAATGCAAAAACCTTTCCAACGAGGGGTCACTCGGCCCCCCTTGCTATTGAAGGTTTTTGAGGTGGGGGCTGGTGGGGCCATGGGGTTGATCCGACAAAATCAGTTGTGATCTAAAAATGTGTCCCCCTAAGGATAAAAATTGACCTGTTTATGGATTTTACCTGAATCAAGACGAGAACGAAGTTATCGAGGGTGGATCCTTTTCAAAAAATCACCCTGTATAGTATTGTTGTGTCTTTGATTATTAGCATTAATGTGTTAAAGCTAGTTCGTCTCTGGCCAACTAAATAAGCCAAATGTATTTAAAAAGGTAAATTTTACGGAGACTTATCTAGTACTTAAAAAATTATTAAATTATACCTAGGACTTGGAAAATTATTAAAAAAGAAGGTAGGGATGCCTGGAAGGGTGGAAAATAATTTAAATTGAGAAGAAAATTCAAAGTAATCGTTATGTTAAAAC